TTGTGTACATTGTTAGCATGATGATGGCTAAAGAAGGGACAATGCCTACGACTGTCAAGTGGAGTAGAAGAGTGGTTATCTTACCTCAAAGTGTACCAAGAGGAAAGCCAGAAACAATTGTCTCATTCTCGAGCAAAATCACTCTGATGACGACAAAGGTCGCTGCAGTGAAGAGCGGATAAGTGCTCAAAATGACGCATTGGGTACTTGGCGGAGGAGTATATGCGCGACTACACGACGAGTAGCTGCTAAGTGCTCATGATCAGCATGTAGCATTGCGCGACACAATGATAGCAAACACACACCGACAGTGTGACAGATCACGCTCTGCCTGTAGTATAAAAGCCGCAGCGTGAGGGAGAATGAGCGTCGCGTAGGCTTAGCAGTGAACTAGGGAAGGTCAGATATGGTGGCAACAGGGAAGCAATTGGAGACGTCACTGAGTGTATCGGAAAGCGCCGGTCTCTTCTTTCCCGTCACCTTCGAGGCACCACCAGTAGCTACGCCTGTACGTCGCTCTTCACGCCCTCACTTTTCCGAGTATCACCATCACAGTCAATATCCACAACTTCTGCCTCGACGAATCGGAGCAGTGGAAGAGAAGTGAGTCGGTCTCAGGTGGCTGAGATTGTACGCCTTGTACTCTGCTCCTCGTCCAAAATCGACTACCAGAAGGTGAGCTTCTGTCTACACCTCCCTCCCCCTCTCCCACACTCCCTTCCTCTCCTCTGTCCCTTTATTGCCCTATTATGCAGCCTCACTCATTACGCGCTTTCACTTCTAAACATCTACCCTCCCATCTGCTTGTGCGTGTCACTTGCAGTTGAGGGATGACTCGCAGCTGACCACGGAGTTCGGCTTCGACCATCTCGACCGCATGGATATGGCGATGGCATTGGAGAAGGCCTTCAACCTCACCATTCCACTGAACAATCACTGCGATGACAGTGTTCACTTCGACGAGCACTTTGCTTCTCCACACAGCATCGTCGATTTCATCTCATGGCGTCTTGGCATCCCCACCAACTCGGTGACCGATTGATTGTCATTGCGTGGTGGACGTTCTCAAGCTTTGTGATGAATTACTTGTAAATAATGTCAGTGCAGTTTGTTCATTCACGGCTTTTTTCTGTCTCAGTGCAGGGGTTTCCTTTGAGTAGCGTACACTGCAAGGCAACCCACTCCCTCAACCATAGTATAGATAGAGTCTATCCATTGAAGCTAACATGGGTTCATAAGTGTTCTTGAAGCAGACGGTTATTTTCTAATCCTTGCTTTCCACATTTGTAATAATCAGCTTAATTGAGGTTGGTGCAAAATTATTAATGTCAACCCTCGTTAGAGGTGTTTTCATTTCTGTGCTTATTCGGTTGTCCATAAGACCCAGCATGAGCCCACTTGTAGAGAATACAACACTCAGTTCATGGAAAACATTCTTTTTCCCAAATGAAATAATGCGGAGCTAAAATTCCTTCACTTCGAGTTATCTTTGCATTGCATATTGCAACCGCATAATTATGAATTTGGAATTTTCAATGGTTGTAGGGCAATATCTCTCCTGAAACGCCTCCTTATAATGCTCTCTTAATCCTTCCACTCTCCCCAGTTTTCTCGAGTTTTGCTAATCAAATTCGTTTTTCGCAGGTCCTTGTTTTTAAAGCCGTTTTTACTACTTCACTTTGATTATATGTCTTCACTCGATTGCCTTGTTAACGGTAATGTGATGCATTTTTGCGATATAGGCTTTGCAATGCTGACACAATTAGTTCTTAAAGCTATGCACTGGTTTTTTGTGTAATATAGTTCCTTACTTGGCATCATCAAGTACTCTGACCTAATCTCTAACGGAGAGGATGACATTGGGTAGCAATCGCTTGGGCATTTTCTCTCAATACAAGCAATGCCTGTACTCTCACACATCTGGTTCTCTGCTCCCCTTGACTCTCTAATTACGAGAACAATTCCATCACACCATTCTTTAGGCATTGCAGAAAATATCCACCTAAGTCATTCAAAATGAAATTGCACTTATTACATACAGGTGCTGAAATGCTGCTTAACTTTCTTGTCAGTGATATAGAGAGCAATCTTAATGATTTTCCACTAGTATATTCTACTTTGAGCTGCCAAATATCTCCTCCGCTTTAGCTACCCAAATCAAAACACAAATGACAAAGTAAATTGCCTTATTTGTAGCAGTAGATCTCTAAGTTATTCACTAAGCTGTCTTCCATAGGTTGCAAAAGTAGGGATTTGCGCGGCTTATCTACTTATTCTCTAGCCTACTTTTACTGACAGAGCGGTCTTTTTATGCAGAAGGAGATGTAGCTCGTGCATGAAAACGTCACATCTGTGTAGCTAGAGTCTAATCATATGCTAAAGCATAAAATAAGGTTCAATTTCCTTCTTTTGCAAACATTTTATTCTTCGTTCCGATCACACTACATAATGGGAAGGTCCTTTCGAATGAATAAGGTCATACCTATAAATGCACGACTGCATCACGTCTTTCACTAGTAGCTGGTCTAAAAAAAAGGTTTCCTTGTTTTAAACGGTATATTTGCTGGAGCACAGGGTGCTGATCAGATCCAACTTCCTTCTTCCATAAAACCTGTTTTACCCAAAATAGAATAAACAAACCCTTTTGCCACTAATTTAACCTTTGTTCTCAAACCACCACTTCTATTTATGTGTTTGAATCTGTTGAATAAGTAGCAAATGTGTTTGTGAGAGCAGAGCATCCAGAAGTGAACCGAAAACGTATTCAGTGGTTAGGCAATAATAGGTAATGCAATTCGTGGACTGGCAGGTGAGCGTTGCTTGCCGGTATAAATTTACTACCTACTTCCAAGCAATCAGCGATGATGACATCTAATAGGCTCAAATGCTTCAATTCAAGACTGCAACTTCTTAGCTCTCTGGTTTTAGACAGTATGTCCTATGACAATACCAAAGGCGGTTTGGTAGTCATCATTGATGATATCGGAACGCAAGACTGATCCACATGCATCAACATCACTTCCTCCACTAGCTCGGTAATGGTAGAGTTATAATTTCTGGAAGCACAAAAGAGCTATTTCTCGGAATCCCATTTTCTGTACATTTTTGCTCCTCTATGCCAATTTTT